AATTAATTTTATATTTCGTCACCATTCATAGCACTCCATATCTCTTTCTTACATTCTTATCCTTACCCACATTCTTACATGCCTATATTTAATTAATTATTTTTTTCTAGCAAAATATTCTCTAGAAATAATTTATATGACAAAACAACGTTTGTCGGGTCAGCTAGTATTATATATTTATTTTAATGTTTTGTATCAAATGTATACATTTATTGACTGTATAATTTTATAGTTACACTTTCAGTTGTAGTAATTATTGTTAGTTATCACACTGTAATTGAACCTTAAAAAGAATACTTTTTAAATTATATTTATTATATGTGATTTGTATGAAAAATGAATAAAAACAAACAATACATAAATTACAATAAATTTGACATTTGAGTGCTTAAAAACAGTAATCAATAAATAAATGTATATTTTTCTACTCTCATTAAAGTTTTATAAGATTTTTCTGTTTTTTCATTATCATTAATGTTAAATAAGTTCTGTTGTAAGTTGTTAATATATGTATATCACTTATATCAGTCTTTAATTAATTTTTTTTTGTAATTAACTTAACTTATTAATTGAAGTCAAGTTAAGTTAATAATATTTTTTACTTAATTTTAACTTAATTGATGTAATTCTCATGTGCATTAACTTAATTGTTACTTTATTGAACATTAACTCAATTAACTTAACTTGAGTTTAAAAATATCATTAACTTGCACAGCCTTGATAAATATTATGCACTTATCTAAAAATTCTTCAAAATATTTATTTTTAAATTTTTCTAAATTTCATAAGCTTGTTATCGAACACGGTATTTTTCACAAAAATATTTTTATGGTCTTGAATATCAAAATTAACTTAATTGGGATAAATTAAAAAATAATTCGTTCATTTCAAGTTAATCCGTAACGAAATGAATTAAGTTAATTTATCAGTAATGAAATAAGTTAAATTACCTTAACTTTTAACTTATTAACTCGTTAATGCCCAGGCTTGTTAATATGATAAGATATTCAATGAGATTACGTTTTGATCATTCGATGATGAATAATAATAATATAATTGGGGCTTCAATGAAAAATCATAAATATTTATTTATTTATTTTTATTTCAATAGAATAAAGGACCCCACTGAGCATGTTCTTGTGGGGGTTCTGATATATGATTTCCTATTGATATTTTGAACGATTTGTAGTTTTTGTTTTAAAACTTTTTTTTTTTTTTATTGGTTATAACCCTCGGAAGCATGGGCCATTGAGCTTACAAATTATTTAGTTTATTATTTTACATTATATTATGTGGTTATTCTGAGTATAAGTTCTAAATTTTTGTTTGAATTTTGGCTGTTTTGATGAATTGGATGATGTTGGCTATTGATTTCGGGTGATTGTTGAGTATTTCGGCTAGTGATTCAGGTATGTTGTGGACGGTTCTGATGTTGTTATATATACGGCATTCGGTGAGAATGTAGATGATGGTGACTGCAACACCGCAGGCTGAGCATATCGGAGGTTCTTCCTTGGCCATAAGAAAACTGTGAGAGATTTGTGTCATAAAACTTTTATTCGCTTACGTAAATTAAAATAAAATTTATTATTTGGAAATTATAAAATGAATGGCTATTTGTTATCAAATAGCGAATTACTATACAGCATTTATACATAATATGTCTCATTATACGATAATAGATGCTGTCAAATGAAACTAATGTAATAGAACAATAATTGTTAGGTTAGGTTAATAATTATTATTTGTTATTGTATTAATGATACGTTAATAATTATAATATGTTTTTCAAATGTATTATTTTGGTCCAATTAAAAAAAAAAAAGGCTTGTGACATGATGGAGTAGATTCCGCTCGTTAATCCATAAAAACCGATTTTGGATGATAAAATGCAAAAAAATATTTTTTATTTTTATTTATATAACACGCATTTGTTTAATATAAATAACCTGTAGTTGGTATGGAATAGTGAAAATTTTATTATATCTTCATAAAAAATGAGCATCTTAAATTATAATAGATTTGAACACTTACGTTCTAAGGAATCAAAGTCATCAGTTATATAAAGGAATCAAAAAAAGTGATTGTGATAAAAAAAATTGTTTTTTACGATTTTTATATTGAGAAGAGGACTAATATATTTTTATTTAATTCATATTGAAGCACATTCGATCCACATTTGGTATTCATGAATATAATGAATTAAATTCAAGTTGGGATAGGATTAGGGGTTTTATACATTATAATAGTCATTCAAATTGAAAACAGAATATCCCAGTGAAATTAAAAGCTTAAAAGTTATTATTTCATGAATATAGTAAGCGCATCCATATACAATTGGGAAAAGTTAATGTTTTGGATCACAAAAGGACATAATTAAATATGAAATCTTTTTAACAAATGTATTTTTTGGTATTCAGAGATGTCACAAACGCATTGGATGAAATCAAAAAAAATAACATAACATTTTTTTTTTATTTGAATAAATTGTAAATATTAGAAATACTCAATTTACATTATTTTAAAATTACAAAAATGTTTCTATAAATTATGTATTATATTAACACAAACAATATTTCAATAATAGTTTTAAATAGTTCGTAATGCATATCATAAAATATAATGTTTTATCTCAAAAAGTAAGTGATTCTGTTAATTTAAACGGAAGGATACTTTCATCATATATGATAAGTTTAATTAAGTTAGGTTAAGGTATTATGTAGTTATTTGTCAAATTACAAGATAGGTATATAACTTATACGGCCGTATACCAGCGTATCATCAATTTCCCATAAGCTATACACCATGGATAAAAAAAGCGTATTGGGTATACGCTGTATACCCCTTATACCCTGACAATATGAATGAATCATTATTAAAATTATATTTTATTCCCTATGACAAAAGTTATTTATTAATTTATAATTAATTTACTGTAATACTTAAATTATAAAAGATTACATTATTTATTTATTTATGTCACTAAACTATTTTCTTATTTATACATATCTCATTTGCATTATTCAATAAATGGTTAAAATTATATTTCATAAGCTTCAAATTAAAGCAAGTTGAAATTTTTCATTATATTTTTTTAATAAAGAGATTTTCTAAGATGTTTAAGAAAACACAAGTATACTTGAAAAAATAATTTCAGTTACTTTTGCACATTTGTTCGGGAATTCTAATGTTTTGTTTTTATTATTTTGTTCGTAAAATATCGTCAACGAATTTTTACCGAAAAGCTAATACATACATTTCAAGGTTAATTTTTTATTTAAACATAAGTACTTATAAATGTAATTTGAAACTTTTTATAGGTTTGGATATGTAAAATATTTCGTGGGAAACTTATAAAATCATAGATATGCTTTAATTTATATTGTTTATAAATAGTTTATTTATAAAAATTATTATTTATTTATAATCAATGATTATACTTAAGTTTTTGCATGTTGTGCATTCGACGTATGATGATAGATTTACAATTTACTTTATACCATTATTATAATGTAATTATACTTTTGGAATAAAATTCAAAAATGCATATTAAATTACATAAAATATTTTAAATACTAAATAATTTGAGCATGGTAAATTATCAATGGATAATGGGTGGTTCTTAGTTATAGATGAAGAAATTTTTTTTTAATATTTTTGATTTCTTACCCCTCATTTTGTTTATTACTATTTAAAAGTAATTTGTGTTAAATTTGGTCATGATTACTCACCTCTTTCACGTGCCCCAAGAGGATTGAATATTAGTGAAAAAGGGATTTTTTGTCATTTTTTGAGTATATTCAAAAAAAATATTGCATAAATCTTAAAAATGTATAAAACATATATTATAGACATTTATATTTTTAATAAAAAATATATTCATACAATTTCTCATAAATCTATTATTTCCCAAGAAAAATGATAAAATATCGAATATTTTAATGATTTAAAAAAAACCGATTTTTTACAGTTATCTAAATATATTAAAATAATGGTTGACAAAATATCTTATATACAATTGATAAAGAATTTGATTTCCTAAAAAAAGGTTAATTAGTATAAATTTCATTGGATTTTGTCTGTTTTATTGTAACAATCAGTTTAACGTAAAAAAATTTAATGTATCTAAAATGTTATTCTGTTAATTCAAGAGTTTCATTAATAATACATGTTTTAATATAATACAGTTTATATAATGTCTTATAAATATATTATTATTATTATCTATTATTTATTATTTCATAAGAAAAATTATGTGATAGCTATTATTATTATAATTTTTTAATTTTTTTTACATAGTTAATTTTTTTCAGTTATTTTAAATATCTTGGACAAGGTGATTTTTTTACAATCTTGGAATCACCGACGATACTTGCTCACTACTTACAGTAAATATTGCTTCTGGTCTTCGCTTTTAGTTATTAACTTGCTATAATCTTCAATTAATTTCACTTCTTGCTCCGCAATATCATTAACTACAGTTAAGTTATTTATTAATTCTTTTCTTTTTATATATCGATCATTTTCGTTCCACAATTTCGGATATAAATCTAAAAAGTCCAACATTATACCGAATCTATTAAAAAAAATTCCTAGATTGGACTGATATAAAATTATCTTTATAATTTTAGTATAGTATAATTATAAAATCAATATCTTTATTAGCATAATCGTATATTTTATTTGATTATAAAATTATTCGTTTTTTGTATTCCGATTTGACATCAAAAGTCTTCATTGCTTTAACCATTTTTGCCTTTGTTTTCAGTGATACATTGTCACCAAAATATGCTAATGATGTTACTTTTGGTGTTAAGTATCACAAATGACTACAATTTTTTTTAATGTTCATTTTGAAATTTCTATATCAATGATTCAGGGACGTAGCTAGGAATTTTCTATGGGGAGGGTCCAGTTCTATAGATATAAATTTGACAGAGTATATCATTATAGGAAATTACATTGAGTTCAAAATTGTAGAATAAAATATTATATTTCCATCATAACACCAAGTCAATTTTTCTCGGCTTCTTAGCCATTTCGTTTAATATTTCATTTGGCGTGATTATGATATTTCGATAATAACTCAATAGTACCAATCCATTGAGACGATCCTGTTTAACAAGCAGTTCAATAAAATGAAATCAGAATTAATTTATTGTTTATACATTTATTTATTTTTTATTCAGCCAAAACAATTACAAATAAATAATTACATTAAAATAAATTACATACATACCTCTTTCATATTGTTTCTGAGGTAGGTCTTTATTATTTTTAAGCCAGAAAAAGATCTTTCTGGCGTTGAAGTAGAAACAGGGAGACAATATAAAATTTTTAGTAACATAAATATATTTGGAAATATGATAGGGTCACAATGCTTGATGGCATCCAATGCATTAGAAGGCAAAATTTCATCATTGTTTGTTACTAGCCCTTTGAGTTTTTGTTTCCAAATTTGTAACTCTTATCAATTATCATTTATCACAATGCACCACGATGTAGATATCGATTTTATCTACATCGTACAATGCACTTCAGGCACTATTATATACCTGGGACATAATATAAATTTACTATACTAATATATTAAGTATTTATTCAGTTATATAAAAAAAAAGTTTAAAAATAAACATATTAAATTTTAGAATAAACTAGAATTTTTCTTCGTTGTTAAAGGAGGGGGATTGAACCCCTGAACCCCCCTCCCGGCAGCTACGGCACTGCAATAACCTCATACAATATTAGCTCTTTAATAAATTATAAATCCATGTTTGGTGCCAGAGCAGCAGCTGGAGCATAATATAACTTCAAATATATGATGTCTACATGGTAAATATAGTATATCACGTTCTAGCCGTTACTCTAATAATATACAAGTGCTTTTCAGTCGACCCATGATGGATGTGGTTGTATCATAACATAAAGCTTGTATGTTTTCGGTTAAACTCCAATTTTCAAAAGTCTGATATACTGCTATTGATTGATTTTGTCTAGTGCCAGTTATTAGTTCTGGTACACCAAGCAGCTGCTCTTTGCCTTAAAATGATATTACTATTGGTATTCCTATAGGCGGTCAATCATTTTTTTTCCGGATAGTGAGGGAAGAAGTTTACCATCCCATAATCTCAACTGTAACATATTATCCGATTCCGATATAACTATTAGGTACAAAATATTATCTACTCGTATACAATGTATTATTATCTTAAAATGTGTGTTATTTATGAAACTATTGATTTACGTCAGTAACATTTTAGCTTGACACTTTCAATTTACACAATGTTTCAAAAATACAAATATTACAAATGTATATAATATGATAAGCTCTAAATAATAACAAGTGTACAAAAATAATAATATAATAATAAAAAATTAATTTTTTTAATTAAATAAAATATTCAATATTACCTATATCATTTTTCTTATGAAATAATACATAGATAGTAATAGATTTATAAGATATTGTATAAACTGTATTATTAATGAAACTCTTGAATTAACATGATAACATTTTAGATACATTCATTTTTTTTTACGTTAACCCGACTGTTACAATAAAACAGTCAACCATGTGCCGCAATAACCGGGTATGTTGCGTGTGTCAAACATACGACCCCATGACTCTAGCTTATAATAGGGCCCAATGATAATATTTTAAAAATATGTAGAAAGTAAGAGAATTAAACCATTTTGTAATAATAATTACTTATGGAGATTGAAAAATAATTGATTGATTTTGTTTTGTACACATTATCGTACATCAACGTTTTTTTTTTACAACCTGTATAATCAGAATACAAAATAGTTTGGTTACAAATACGGCACGATTTCTCTGCATAGTCTGGATACGGGGGAAGGCATTCATTTTACTTACACACGAGCCCAAGTTAGTGTAGTTGCGGCACTGCAGTCAACCCAATGAAATTTATGCTAATTAACTTTTTTTAGGAAATCAAATTCTTTATCAATTGTACATAAGATATTTTTTCGTATCATCAACCATTATTTTAATATATTTAAATAACTGTAAAAAATCGTTTTTTTGAAATCATTAAAATATTCGATATTTTATCATTTTTCTTGGGAAATAATAGATTTATGAGAAATTGTATGAATATATTTTTTATTAAAATTTAAATGTATATAATATATGTTTTATACATTTTTAAGATAAATGCAATATTTTTTTGAATATAGTCAAAAAATGACAAAAAACCCTTTTTCACTAATAATATACAAATATTTAACCCTTTTGGGGCACGTGAAAGGAGTGAGTAATCATGACCAAATTTAATCCGAATCACTTTCGTATAGTAATGAACAAAATGAGGGGGTAACAAATCAAAAATTCATAAGTTCAAAAATAAGGACAACCCTTATGGATTGTTATTATAGATATATAATGTACGGTACAAAATAAATGTATGAAAACTGAACTTTTATTATAACTTCAGTTATTGAATGGTAAAGACAGTTTTTAGTTATTAGTTTATTCACACCTACTTATGTAATAATTATCACTTAAAAAATCATACATTATAATTTATAATATCGTTTCACTAAGTTAAATTAGTTGCTACGATTAATATTTATTGGGTAACAATTAAATAACTAATATCGTTTAATGGAAATTTGTTAAAATATCATATTATAAATTATTTTTATGACTATTCAATAAGTTATTCTCTAGCTACTGAGATACTCATAATCTGATATATTCTTGTTTCCAATTTTTAAGTTTTTAATATGAAGACTGAAAATAATGAGTTTTTAACTTAAAAAATGTAGCCGATTTTTGTGATTTTAATTGTTTTGCCAAAATTTAATATTTTAACAATCTAATTTTTTTTTCAATTTCTTAGTAAGTGATGTGGTGAGTACGCCACTTTATAGGTCCCCAAAACTTCTAATCATGGCTCTGGGCCCATAGTAAGAGAGCGGGTGATTGGACAGGAGCGGTACAAATTATAATATTGATGGAAAAAGACCGGATCAGACTATAGGACGGGCTGAATTTAGAGTGGTTCGAACGTGGTGGACGAACAGTTTTCAAAACGATTTGACAGTGAGGTTGATCGAGTCACGCGTGAACCACTTACGTTTTGAGATGAACAAGTCGATTCAGGAGCATTTGTATAGAGGCTGATGTAAATACAATTAGGTGTCCACACATTCCATTATTTATTGTACTAGGTACTAATGAAACTAGTATATGCGTTACTTATGGAGCAGCCAAATAACATTTTTTTCAAATTTTTTCCATTTTCAAAACCTAAGTTTTATTTAATTGTCTTAAATTTAAATATGAATACTTGTAAGAGAGATTTATTGCAAATGTCCAAGTAAATCGATATGTGCCATCGATTTTGGGCTTGTCGCATGCTTATAAAGCCTGATTTATCAAAGTCAAAAAAATGTGCTGTGACGTATTGATTTGTATGAGAATCCTGCGAGATAAATGATAACGTCATCTATTTGTTGTTATTTAAAATATCTGATTAATTAATTTGGGTTTTATATGGTCAACTAATAAAAAGAATTAAATAATAATAAAATTAAAAACTATCTTATTTTTTAATAATCGTTTTTAATATCATAAATTTAAATAATTTGTGTTTAAAATGATGTAAATTTTATCCGGTTTTTGGTTATTCCTGTAACATAATTATTTTAACACAATAAGATAAATATTTTATTTTCAACTTATTATTTGAACAATTTTTACTTATTATCTTATAATCAAACTTATTATTTTATTATTAGAGTTTATAATACGAATAATTGTATTTGAACATATATAAGATAAATTCTTAATCAAAAATTCCAAGTGCCTAAAATCAGCCCAAATTATATTAAAATATTTCATAAACTACAGACTATCTAAAAGTACTTATAAATTAATTTTATATTAAATTTTAATGGAATAAAGTGTTAAAATATACTATGTAATAATGAATTTGAAACTAGATCTTAGAACTAGATCAAGAAGTTTTTTGTAATTTTTTCTCTGTTTTTTTTTCTCAATTATTTGGAAAACTGTTGAGAAATCCGAGAACAATCTTCTTAATGTACAAAATAGACACAATTTTCTATAATTTAATATCCATGATTTTGATGACTGGAGAAATTACTCTGACCGAAATCGTATTCACAGATAAAAAAAAACAACAACCATTATAATAGTCATTTCTAAGACATTCAAAGTAACGCGTTATTTGTTTTAAGCATAATATTGTTTTACTATACTCGGGGGTATAGTTATTAGGCATTAAAGTAAAGTTACACGACATGTTTTGATCGTATGAAAACTAACTAGCACACGGCAAGAAACTATTAATGAGGCATTTTCCTGGAATATTGTGTTTGTCGGTTGAACATTTACTAGACTTTTATCATACTATACGATTAATGTTTAGGTTAAGGAAGCACAGTTGTCTGAATTTTAATAATATACCTAGTTAATTCTTATGTATACATACCCGTATACGACTGTTGTGTAACATGATAATTATCAAATAATTGTTACTTTAGTATTTAGACAAGCCATAGTAAAAAAAAAACGGAAAAAAGTTAGATCAATTTCCATCGTTATTCATTTGTTCAAGTTTTTAAATATTCATGGGAATATATTTGGATACAATTTTCGTAATATGTATAAGATGTAAAAATAATAAGTCTTCTAATATTTCCATATTCAAATTGTGTAAACAATATTTGTTGAGGAGAAAAAAGTCGTTCAACGTAAATATAACTATATACATTGAGATTATGTACGATAATACTTTTAATATATTTTAATGTGTTCGTGAAGCTGATCTCCAAATGTTAATTGATTTAATTCAAATTTTATTGCACACACTTTTTTGCGAACTCACTCACTATAAATCCGTGATCACAACAAATACTTACCAATGAGTGACTAAATAACGGGGTAATGAAAATGTTAAAAGCAAATATATTTTGGTTGTACATTTAGATCCTTAATGGATACGGCAATATTTGTGATAATGATAAAAATCTAAAGTAAGTATATAGTCTTCGAATTTAATGGGATCAGCGTCATGTTAAATGTATTATTATCAAGTTAAAAAACATCATTTTGAATATATATCGACAAGAAGAATTGGAGTATGTGGAATTTGGATAAGCTAGTTAACCGGTGATACTCGAATTGCCTCCCAAATTTAGGTAGGTGACTTTTTTTTCACTCGAATTGCCTCCTATACTTACCTGAATTAATTTATCAATTATTATATCGATTTCGATATTCGATAATATCGAAATATTATTTTTAAGACATACTGCAGTATTTCCTAGACCGATTAATATTTCGAATGCAATAATCTTATCGATCAGTGGTTATTAGTTAATGATTAGTCCATAATCAACAGTTGAACACAGTCAGTTTCGTTTGCGCAGCCGTTTCGATAAATAATCCGTTAATATAGTATACCTACGTAGTACGTATATATAGTTTTATAAAAATGAATATGATCAGCGTGGTCAGCGAAAAAGGTAAAACAATTATAATATATGACGGTTTTAAGTTTGGATTTCAAAA